CACTCAAGGTGAACAGGACAATTACGAGATGCACGTGCGAGCCGCCAACATCGTGAGTGGCCAGGGTTGGAGGGCACAGCCCAGGCTCCAGGAGCATCGGTGCCCGCTGGGGTTTCCTGGGTGGAGGGTAGGGGGCTCTGGGGCTGGTCTGCTCTTCCCCCGAGAAGGAGCAGAAGGAGGCGAATGTAGAGATGCTTTAAAGAATGAGGTGGGGGCAAATTTCCCAGGAGGCTGTCCACACGCGGGGCACCTGGAGGAAGGCCGGCAGAGAGCCAGCCACGCCGTCCTGTAGCTGTGCAGGTGCCAGGAAGAGGGCAGCCCTTCCTGCTAACTCACGAGCTGCTAAGGTGAGCTGGGAGTGAAAGGGCAAACAGCCGAACAGAACCATAGGCACCACTGGATTCCCTCGGACCACAGGAGAAACAGCCAGCAGATACTCCTGCAGCTTCACGTCCGAGGCAGAAAATGCATGGGAAAAAGTCCCCCAGGAGCCCTGCCTAGCTGGCAGCTGTGCTACCCCAACCCGGGGGCAGGAGGCAAGAGGGATTGCAGTTTTATCTGTGGGGTTTGCGTTCGTAACGAGCGGAGCGTGCACCTGCGTCCTGCGAGAGTGGAAGCCAGAGGCTGAGGGGAGGGGAGGGCCTGCCCTCCGGAGCTGCCATCCCAGTTTTCTCACTTAATTCTCACAACTGAACCTGTGCAGGTCAGGGACAGAGTCCCACTCTGCAATGAAGCAGAGGCTCCAGAGAGGCCATCACTTGCCCGGCATCAGCCACCTGCGGGCAGGGCCGCCGTCCCCCCTCACCCTGTGCCCACCCTGGTTCTGATGGCCACAGGTCCGAGCCGGTGAGTCCCTGATGAAGCTGGTGTCCGACCTCAAGCAGTTCCTGATCCTCAACGACTTCCCCTCCGTGAACGAGGCCATCGACCAGCGCAACCAGCAGCTGCGCGCGCTGCAGGAGGAGTGCGACCGGAAGCTCATCACGCTGCGGGACGAGATCTCCATTGACCTCTACGAGCTGGAGGAGGAGTATTACTCGTCCAGGTACAAATAGAGCCGGACTCCCCGTGCAGAGTGGGAGCCTGCCTACCTGGGCCTGGCCAGCAGGCAAGGCTGCCCTGACTCTCAAGGGCCTTCTGCTTTTTCAAACCCTTGCTGCTCTTGGCAGTGGAGCCGTGCCTGGGTTTCACAGCAGAGCTCCTGGCAGAGCGTTTGGTCGACAGACAATTCACGAGCATCTGCCGGGGCCCTGGGCCTTTCCCGCAGTGCAGCCTGATGAGAGCCGCAGGACTCACGCCAGTTGGACAGGCCGAGTCTGGAGAAGGGAGGGCCTGGCCGGCATCCGCTGCAGGGTCTTCCTGAGAGCCTCCCTCCTCGGGCAGTGCCTCTGGGCCAGTGGTGCGCCTGTTAGCATCTGAATCCATATTCAGAGATTTTGG